TCTGAAAAAACTAGTACTTTAAGAAAACTTCTTAGTAATAAATCAGAGTGGCTGTGGTCCCTAAATGAAGAAAAATCGTTTGAAGAATTAAAATCTTTAGTTTCTACAGTACCGGTGCTAGCTTACTTTAACCCTAAAAAACCCATTATTCTATCGGTTGATGCCAGTCCTTTCGGTTTAGGGGCGGTAATTCTACAAGATGGACATCCAATAGAGTTTGCGTCAGTTTCTTTGACGCAAACGCAGCAAAATTATAATCACATTGAAAAGGAACTATTAGCATTAGTATTCGGATGTGAGAGATTCCATTATCTTACTTTTGGTAATAATATCACTATTCAAACAGACCATCGCCCATTACTAGGCTTGCTTAAAAAACCTTTTGAAGACCTATCTCCTACAACTCAACGCCTTACCTTTCGTTTATTGAGATACCAATTTGAATTAGTTTACGTTCCTGGAAAAAATCAACAACTTTCTGATACACTCAGTAGAGATCATATTAATACCTTCATCGACACATCCTATGTCGACACAAACCTAAAAATTTATTCAATTCTTTCAACCTCAGAAGAGAACGAAAATCGTTTAAAAATAGCAATTTCTACAGATCCTATCCTCCAAAAAGTAAAATATTATCTATTAAATGGTTGGCCATCACATAAAGGCAACCTACCTCCACTTTTGAAACATTTCTGGCAAATTAGACACGAAATATTTTGTCACAATGATTTAATTTTTTATCAAAAGAGGGTAATAATTCCTGAATTTTTAAACTTGATACACAAAAGTCATCAAGGAGTCATTGCCTGTAAAAGAACGGCAAGAGATTGCATATACTGGCCTGGATTATCTTCAGACATAGAAAATACTGTTTTAAGTGTATAACTTGCCAAAAATATTCCAAGACAAATCCAAGGGAGCCTCTCCATTCTCATTCAGTTCCGGAACTTTCGTGGTAAAAAATTGGAATCGATTTCAAGTCGTTAGGCACATTGAATTTTATAGTTATTATTGATTATTACAGCAAATTTATAATAGCAAATAAATTAACCAACAAAAGAGGAGAAACAGTCATATCATCATTAAAAAATGTTTTTACGAACCACGGAATACCCCAAGAAATATTTTCTGATAACGGCCCGCCCTTTAATTCTCACGAATTTTTGGAATTCACTAAAAAATATGATATAAAACATAATACTTCTAGTCCTCTTTACCCTAGATCTAACGGGATGGTAGAAAGGGCAGTGCAAACTGTCAAAGGTTTATTAACAAAGGCATACCAGGATGGCGAAGATCCATTCCTAGCAATATTAAATTACAATGTCACTACCAAGGAACAATTACCATCACCAAGTGAACTTCTTATGGGCAGAAGATTAAGAACTACATTACATGTCCCGAAAACTCTTCTAAAACCTAATTTCTCAATGGAAGGTATAAAACAAACATTGGAAGACAAACAATGCAGACAAGAGACTTACTATAACCATTCTACCCAGCAGTTGTCAAAATTGATGCCAGAACAAAAAGTTTTGATTCAAAAAGGTACTCGTGATTGGGTTCCTGCAAAAATTGCAAGGGAATCCGGCCCTAACGACTATATAGTTGAGATAGGAGAAGCTGAATATCGTAGAAATAGACAGATGATTAGACCACTACGAACATCATAAGTTACCAATGATCCAGAGTATCGGTTATCAAGCGGTCACCTTATTTAGATTTAAAATTTATATTTTAGTTTATTTTTTTTAAGAACCTTTTATTCTAAAAGTTGTTAACTTTCAGTTTTATTATTTTTATTTTTTTTGTAAAGTGCGTGTCATATATCATTAGTTGTCAGTTGTGACAGGCTTACGGTCGAAGTGCCTGCATCAATTATTACTAGTTGTAATATATTAAATAAAACCTTTTTTCGAAAAGTGTTGCCTTCATATTACCACACTAGCTGTTGTCTGTTGTTCTCTACTCCAAACATTACAGTAATTATACAATTTATAGATTTTCGTAATCTTTATTACTGACAATCAAAGTCAAAAATAATCATACAGGGTGAAATTAAAAAGTAAGATATTGAAATCACCACACTACTCCCCCCCTTTAGAAATAAGTATTTTTCAACAAAAATTTAGCTTTTTGACCAAAACGGGTAACGTATTCTTCAGATTTATCTAGTTTTTTGGGTTCGTCTTAAACGTTTGTACCAATATTTTGCGAATCTTCTTCAAAGTTGTTATCTATAAATGCAGGTTTCAGTCTTTCAATTGATACATTTTTCTTTTCCATTTATTAGCAATGTAAAAACGCCATCTCTTCTATTCAAAACTTTATATGGTCTAAAGTAAGGTTTTTGTAAAGGTTTTTTTACGGCATCAACCCTAACAAATACAAATGCAGCAACACACAATTCTTTTGGAATGAATGAAAATTGAATGTGATTTGATGTTTCAATTGCTTTAATTTAATACATGGTTTCTCCTAAATTGTGTAGAAATTTCACTTGATTTTCTTTGAAATTTATTTCATTTAAAATTAAGTCACCTGGTACTCTTAATGTGGTACCGTAAACTAATTCGCTACTGGATGCATTTAAATCTTCTTTAGGTGTGGTTCTTAAGCCGAATAAGACAGTTGGAAGCATTTCTGACCATTTTTCAGAAGAATTTAAAACACATTTTAAAGAAACTTTTAGTATCTTTGAAATCTCTCAATCATGCCATTAGATCGTGCATGATACGAAGTTGTTTTTAGATTATTAAATCCCATCAATTTAGAAAATTCTCTAAAAAGTTCAGATTAAAATTGTCTTCCTTGATTAGTAGTGACTTTTGAAGGAACTCCGAACCTACAAATCCATCCATTATAAAACTCACGAGCTACGGATTCTGCCGTTATATTGGTTAAAGAAAAAGTTTCATTCCACCTATCTATCAATACATGTTAAACAATATATAAAACCATTTGAGGGTGGTAAAGGGCCTATTAAATCTGTGTTAACATGTTCAAATCTGTTATCTGGTATTTTAAATTCAGCTATAGGTCCAATTGTATGTCTATTGATCTTCGATTTTTGGCAAGGTATGCATAATTTCGACTTTTTAATATATGTTTACATTCTTGGCCAAACGTATTTACTTTTGATTAATTTAATATTAATTCTAATTGCTGGGTATGACAAATTATGATATTTATTAAAAATTTCCCTTCTAAAACTAAGAGGAACAAAGGGTCTGACGTTTTTAGTTTATAGATCACAATTAATTTTATTATTACTATTCGAAATTTGAATTTTTTTAAATCTAAAGATGTACTTTCTTCTAATAGATTTTGCAAATCTTGATTATTTTGATCTTTGTCCCAATTTTCTAGATTTTCGTGATTATTTAAGCTAATTTCCTTGCAAAATTGACTGATATAATCTAATTATCTTGTTTTTCTTGGTGAACAAGTTTAAGGATTCTTCTTAAGAGCGTAGATGAGTAGTTTATGATCCGTATAAATAACAAATTCGCAACCCTCAAGCATCCAGCGGAAATGTTTAATACTTTCGTAGATAGCTAGAAGTTATCTGTCGTATGTGCTGCATTTTATTTGAGACTTGGATAATTTTTTTGCAAAGAAACCTAGAGGTTTCCAAATTTTATTTCCTTCAAACTGCTCCAATATCGCACCCAGAGAGTGGTCTGATGCGTCTACCATTAAAGAAATTGGACAAGAATTTGAGGGATGTGTTAACATTGTCACATTCTCTATGACATAATGTCAGTCCATTTTAATTTTCTATTTTGATTTGAATTGCCTTTTAAAAATTCATTCAATGGAATTATTACATCGGCTGCTTTTGGTAATGAGGATCGGTTAAAGTTAACCATACTACGGAAACGTCCAATTCCCTTTAAGTCAGTTGGTCAGATCTATTTTTGAAAATATTTTTTTTTTGTTTTTAAGGTGGAACGTAAAATCTTTATCAAGGTATCAAGGTACCAAAAGGTGATAATATAAATAGTTTTTTAAGGTGGAACGTAAAATCTTTATCAAGGTATCAAGGTACCCAAAGGTGATAATATAAAATAGTACACATTATACCGAGTGTTTTGAAATCTATCATAAATCTTACTTATTTTAAATTCAGTTCCCAATTTTGATGCCTTCATATTTTAAAATGAATTTTAAATACACTTGGTAGTCAGTCACCAAGTGAAGGGAAAGCAAACATACTTTTTTATTTTCACGAGAAAGCAAATTAGAAAAATGTGAAAAAATTAATTAAGTAATATTTTTAATAAAATCAGGTAAAAACCATCAAAATCTGGACCAAAAATGCGTTTGGGTATATATTTATACTTCAGACCCCTATAGTTTTTAAAGCCACTTTTGCAATATCGTTAAAGGACGCCAAGGTCAGTTTGTACTAAAATAACTTATAAGATTCTTCTTTCGTTTGCCAGTTTTAAGTTCTTATATGAACCACCGTAAACGTGAAATAGAAAGAAAGCTGAAAAATTGGTTTAGGTCCGATAACTAATGTACCTATACAATTTTGAAAATGTAAAGATATAATCCTTATTTCTCCCTACGAAATTAAGAAAAAAAGAGGAGAGAAGAGAATTTTTGTACTGCCCAACGAGAGTCGAAAACTAATGATTTCAAATTTACAAATTTGAATCTCCAGCTATGTGTTCGAATGGTAAAGGCGCAGATGATAATACTCGGAAGATCCAGGTTCGATCCTTGGCCAATGCACTCATTTTAATTTTTTATATTTCTTAGATTTTTTAAATTTTCTTCGGTTTGGTTTTACTTTGGCGATGTGGGAATATATTTCTTGATTTTGAAGGGATACTTAGGAATACTATCTTCATATTTCCAAAATTACATAGTTTAGTTTTCGGATATAAACTAATTTTTTACCTTTCTTTCTTCGAATAACAAAATTGTCTTTGCTCTCTTTTTTTTTAAATTATTATGAATTCTAATGTTCTGTTTTTTATTTTCAGGTAAGGAAATCTTAACAATAATATTGCCAAGATTGAAATGGTAAGTTACCTATTTGTGTTGGTATAAACTGTAGTTCTTTAAATTTAAAAAAATGTTTTTAAATTAAATAGCGTTTTGAATCAAGGTAGTCATTAATAATGATGTTGTAATTCGAAATAAAGCTATTAGGGGAATTATGTTTTTGTAGTTAGTACTTTGAAGAAAGTATTTCGTCGTCAGAATCGATCTTAGAGTTTCTAAAAGAAATGTTCTGTCCAATGATTAAACTACGTGCTATTTAAACTAATTATTACGTTACAATTTATTGAATATATTTTTTGCCTAATTTATTGACTTATGATTTCAGTTATCTATCACATGCTGGTAGAGCGAACAATAAACATGAGTGTAGAAGATGTGAATTTAAATGGCTTGGTTGCGAGAGGATGTCCACAGGGAGGGGTGCTATCACCTCTACTGTGGAACATGATACTCGACACCCTCATCATTCTATAAATTTGAGAATATACTATGCGAAAGAATGCAAGTTGCTCTCAAAATTATAGAACAGTATTTAGATCTCACCTTTGACAGTTAGTTAACATGGAACTCACATTTAGAAAACATATTCAAAAGAGCATACATTGCTTATGCTTATGGCCGCCGAACCGTGGGGAACACCTGGGGTTTTGCCTACGGTTATCATAAGACATATGCTAACATATCGAATACCCATAAATTCAAAGAACAGCATGTTTCAACATAACAGCAGCCATGGTAATCATTCTTAGTCCACTCCTCTTAATATTTATATCAAGTAGGGGAGACCGGGGTTGGTTGTGCCAGTTTTTGTTAATTATTTTTTCTACTTTTTGTAACTTAAATTACATGTTTTTCTTTAATTACCATTTATTTTAATTAAAATATTTAACATAAAAACACAAAAACATTAAACTTAAGAGTAATATAAACAACGCTATTAATGAATAATGTAAGTAGGTTCAAGTGTCACAACTAACCCCAACTTGGGGTTACTTGTGACACTGCTGGGGTTAATTGTGACATGCTTCACAAGTTCACAAATCATCATCAGAATCGCAATTCTGACATACAAAAAACGGATTGTTGTCAGTGCATGCTTCGTGAGCCCAGTACCGGCACCTAGTACATTGGATGCATATTTCTCTTGAACGTGAATTGAAGTACGGTTCTCCATATACTAGACAATAAGTGTCTGCTTCGTCCTCAGAACTACATGGTGAAATCCTGTGGGCAGCCTGTTTCAATGACTTGCGCTTAGTTGTTGCTTTGGTCTTGCAAATATTTCTTTTAGTACCTGACTCTCTTGCCTTTTTCTTCAATTCCTTTTCTTGTTTTTTTCTGTATTCCTCCTCCAATTGTTCTTTGTTGGGTGTGTCAGTCCAAATCGCCGTTCGACCACGTTTGCGCCCTTTTCTAGTTCCCACTCGTTTCTCTGCTTTTGGATCAGAACGTAAATCTTGTGGCGAAAAATATGTTTTGCCAACATTTGATGGTCCAGGTAAATTCGTTTTATCCGATAGAATCTGATCTAAAGTAGTCAGTTTTGGAGGTGAATTCATAATTATAGGTGATTGTCTGGGAGTTGATTGCTTATGTTTATCAGAGGGAGGTAATTTTCTTTGAGTTCTATCAGCTTCAGCTCCATCAGCTTGTTTGGGTTCATTTTCTTTATCATTTAGGACAATCTCTTGAGCTTCAGCTTCAGGTATTCCATCTTGGTCTGGGATGGTTTTTGATTCGGTTATAACTGGCTCTATCATATTTTCTGGATTTGGCCTATCTGTAACAACTGCTGGCAAAAACTCATCTTTACTAAATATATGTTTATTAAAAGGAAAAATTCCACTAACCCTGAAACCCGCTTGAATATTGGTCGGAGTTGCAGCTAGAGGTAACGCTTCTCTTGCAATATTTGGGATATCATATATAGTCATTGTTTTTCCTGCATGATTTCTCATCCAAGAATCAATGGTGCTGTTGATGTATTTTTTCAGCGGGCCATACACAGACCGATCTAATGGCTGCATTTTGTGCGAGCAGTGAGGAGGCAAAGTAATCACGACCACACCATTTTCTTTGCAAAAACTTATACCGTTAAACGACAGATGCGACTCGTGATTATCGAGAATCAGTAAGACTGGTTTCTCTTTTGATGAACGTGTATGCTTGGCAAAATGCTTCAGAAATATATAAAATTCATTTTTGGTCATCCACCCCGATGGATTTGCAGCTCCAATACAACCTGGTGGGCCATTGTTCACAAAATGTTCTTTGTAATTCTTCCGAGGGAAAATAAATATGGGGGGAACTGAATTTCCGCTAGCGCTGATGGCGAAACAAAAAGTTACTAATGTACCTCTCTCCGCAGATGTGACATAACCAACTTGTTTCACACCCTTTCTAGCTATTATTCGATCGGGTTTCTGGACGGTAGTTATGCCCATCTCATCAACGTTATAAATGTCTTGGGCTTTAAATTTATAACGATCCAAAACTTCTTCAAGTAGCGAGAAAAAAGCATTAACATTGTTTTTGTTAAAACTTGTGGCTCTGCTAAGACTTGTTGCCTCAGGAGTCCTCAGAGACAAAGCTATATGACGTTTCAGAAATGCAGTGAGCCAATCTGAAGAAGCCGTTTGGTTTTGAATCCAATTTTGACGAACCTCTATTTTGTTTTTAACTGAGAACTCATATGCTAATCGCCGTACTTCTTTTGTCGATAGCCCAAAATACAACTTAGATTGTTGGATAAGGTATTCAGCTAAATCGTTTTCCATGCAATCTGGAAGAAACTGCCTATTTCGTTTGTATCCTACTTGAACAGGTGCATGGTTATCTGAAAAATATGGCTTTAGACAAGGTTTACATTCAACTAAATAAAATAAGCTTACCTTCAATGTTCCTTTTTCGTTTGCAAAATCTTTGTAGCGTCATCCGGTTTATTTGAAACTTAGCAGCCACTGAACGAAGAGATCTATTGTTAATTAACACCTCAACAGATGCGCGTTTAAAAACTTCTAAGGGCGTTTTTCCCCCTTTCCGTTTTGCGTTTATACGTTCTCATTATTATTTTTCTATGAAAAAACAATATGAACAGTTAGTGAAAATAACATTAAAAAACCTCGTTAAAATCATTTAGGCATTATTTTTCAAACTCAAGGAGAAATAAGAATTTCACAATAAACATATTATTAAATATTATTTTTATAAAAGTAAGTAGGTACCTAAATGTTTTTAAATAAAATATTTTAATCGGCGGCAGTTTGATACGGGGCAAGTTGTGACAGTCACAAATTACCCCATGTCGAATGTCACAACCAACCCCCAAACGACATGTTTGTATTTTTTCTGTTTGTTGCCACGAGAAGATTAAAATTAATAAAATACGCAAGAACAGAAGAATGCACATACCTTGATGATTATTTTCGCATAGGAATAGTAACAAATAGGCGTAAGACACCTCGTGTATAAATCTTTAATTGAAGGCTACAATATTTACTTTACACCGCTAGAAACACACTATTACACACAGCAGACGGTGACGTGCAGCCACGGTAACCAAAACTATACTGAAGTGAAGAGAGCGAGACACTGTTTATTCAACCACTGACCGTACGCTGTTGCCATTGCTACTATGACAGAATTCGCCTCTGTCACAACTTACCCCTGTCACAACCAACCCCGGTCTCCCCTAGGTTATTTTATTGACAATAACATAAAACAAAACAAGACTCAGGATGTGGAATATACTCTAGATCCTGAAACCAAATAATAAAATGGACTGTGGGCAGTCATGCCAGTGTAGTTAAAACTAAGCTCACAGGGACTCTCGTAGCAAAAAAAGAAGTTACCAGAAACAATATCTCTGGAAAAAACATACTCATCTATACAGATAGCAGACAAGCATTTCTCACCCTAGACAGACAATGAATTTACTCAGGGTTAGTATTAAAATGTCACGAAGCTTTGCCTAAAATATCCATCAACAATGTGGTCACATAAAGATAGATCAAAGGTAACGCCATATCGAAAGGTAACCATCTTGTTGATTTTCTAGCCAAGAAGGCAGCCAACCAAATATTTTTTGGACCTTTCCCTTTTATTGGACTAACAACATTGGTAGTAACTGAGTTTAGTAAAGAACATTCCCTCACAAAATCAAGAAAAGGTGAGATTATTCAAGAAACTGCAGAGTTATCAGAGAGTTTTTAAGTTATCCTGACAACACTACAGCAAATAAATACTTGATTATGACTAGACAGAATCTGCGTATCATCACAGGAATTCTGACTGGTCATATCATGGGGCTGTCAGAATCCGCATCCAAGCATATCCTCTACGATTTCTCGACGCTCTAATTTAATGGAAGATTTGTATTTGGCGAGTAATCAGCTAACACCTGCGCCTCTTGGCGACGTTGTTAACTATATTTAATTTGTAGACTGATTTACGAGCTAGGAGGTTTCTATCATTTTAGGAGGATGCACAAAGGACCTAGAGAGGCCTAATTGCCATAGGGGTATAGATTTAGATACAAGTTGCATTTTTCTGCAATGGATTGAATCTAAAAGCAAAAGCAGTAAATCTAGATCGTTCTGCGGACATATCGTCCATCTTGAAAAACTGTTAACTAGTTTTATTAATTTTTAAACCAAAGTCTAAATTAATTGCAGTTTACTGACAGCACTATGATCTCTATAAAACTAATTTACATGTATTAGAAAGATATCTTAAATGGCTTAGAAGCAATTGTAAATATTACTATAAAAAAGTGTTTTGTTTCCATATTTTTGATACGTCATAAAAATTATCATCGGTTGCTGGTAATATGAAAATATTTATTAACTACGTAAATTGTTTTATATTTAATACTTTAGAATTTTTGTATATTAATTTAATTTTTTTTTGTCACTCATTTATTTATCTTTTTAAATTTCTCGCCAATGTATGAGCATTTTCTCTATTTTTTAATTATTTTTTATAAAATTAGTCTGGTACGTTAAGCACCTTACTGTCCTGTCATTAACTTGACATGGTTTTATTACTTTTTATTGACATTTTCTGTTTTTACCAGAATGACGTCTCCTCAAGAGCATAACTTTTTAAAACGGCGATTTTAACCTTTTAACTCACTCTGGTTTTACCTTTCT